GTGACATTTAAATTCTGTAAACGCCAGTTTTTAGCCTCTATGATTGGCTTCACAACTGTGTGAAAAATGTTTTTGAATAATACAAGATGTAGGTGGCGCCACTGTGCAAAGAATTTTTTCGATGGCAGCTACTTTTAAATTAATTTTTGATCAAATTATGTCCCATACAAATTTTTGATAAATTCGACATGAACGGAGATATTTGGGGTTAAGTTTTTTTTTTTAATAATTTTAACGAGTATTTTAATTATAAATATTTTTAATATGCTTTAGCACATGATCATATAATTCTGGTAATCATAATTATAGTGATAAAACGCTCGTGTGGCGCTAACTAGATTAAAATTATTACGTCCAGTGACGCCTCAGAGGGCCCCTTAACAAATAATATTGGCAAAAAATAATACGCCACTGAGTTTCTGGTAATTTTTATATATTTTTCGGATTATTCAACAAAAAATATCCTTTTTTGTCTGTTGAATTGTTTTTATATCTTGCTCGTTTTCGAGAAATAAAAATAAAACCATTTCACTGCATATCTCTGAAAAACAATAATCATTAAATAAAAACAATTGAATTTTAGAAACATCAAGTAATTTTTTCTTTACTTAGTGTCAGTGTAAGAATTTTCAATTTCTACATTTCTAAAATAAAAATGGTTCACCATACAAATCAAGACAAATTGAACATACATGGTTTTAGTTTATGGAGAATGACATCAAAAAGCTTCAGAAGCTGTGCGCTGCTATCGAGACCAACGCCAGATCGCAAATCTTTTGTAGTTTTGTGTACCAACTTATAAGCTATGGCTACATATGGTAGCTTTAAAAAGGAAACGGTTCCAAGAAGGAAGAGGGATACGACTGACGAAAATGTAGGTTTAGTCCTCCAATCAGTAAAACATAACCCACAATCGTCATTACAAAAATTAAAAGATGAAACTAATATTTCAATATTAAAAGATGAAACCAATATTTCAGTAAGTTCCTAAAAGGAAATATGTTTTTTCCATACAAGGTTCATCTAGTGCATCATCTACAATAAGGAGATAACCAGCGCAGATTAAACTTTTTGACACATTTTCATATTCTTTTGGAAGAAAATCCAAATTTATTAAACCAAATTATGTGGAGTGGCGAATCCCGGTTTCACAATAATGGAGTAATAATAATTGTCGCTATTGGTCCCAGGAAAATCCTAACTGGATACGACAGACTAAATTTTACACGATTTGGGGTAAATGTTTGGTGCGATATTGTAAATGGTTACATATTCGGGCCCTATTTGTACCATGAACATTTAACTTTAGTTCGTTATTTACAATTTCTGCAAAACGATCTCACTTTCCTTTTACAAAATTTGTGAATTGACGTAAATACTATGTGGTTTCATCAAGACGGTGCCCCAGCACACAATAGCAATATCGTTATGAATCACCTAAATGGCGTTTTCAGGAAAAGTGATCAGCACAAATGGGGATCTTAGATGGCCAGCAAGGTCCCCTGACTTTTATTTACAAAAAGAAGTCTACAAGGAACCAATAGAAGACATGGCTGACCTGTACAACAAAATATATATTACTATAGCCGCTATTAATTAAAATACACTATTGAAAGTTTGCAGAACCGAATTATTATATCGATTTGATATGTGTGTATAAAAACGGCAATAATTTTGAACACCTCGTTCGACCTTATTAGTTAGTTTTTGGTATTGTTCTAATTTTCTTTAATAATTTTTTATAATTTCTCACCACTCTTTCATAAAATTTAAAACATCCTTTAATTTTATTTTATTATGTTTTAATGTTTTACCTTTGTTTTTAAACAGCAAAAAATATAGCTTATTAATAATTTATGGTTTTGTTTCTTAATGATTTTTGTTTTCCAAATGGTTTTATTTGTATTTCTCGAAAACGAAGGAAGATATGAAAGCAATTTAACAGACAAAAAAAGGATATTTTTAGTTGCTTAGTCCGAATAAAAATATAAAAATTACCAAAAACTCAGTGGCGTATTATTTTTTGCCAATATTATTTGTTAAGGGGCCCCCTGAGGCGTCACTGGACGTAATAATTTTAATCTAGTTAGCGCTACACTAGCGTTTTATCACTATAATTATGATTACCAGAATTATATGATCATCTGCTAAAGCATATTAAAAATATTTATAATTAAAATACTCGTTAAAATTATTTAAAAAAAAACTTAACCCCAAATATCTCCGTTCATGTCGAATTTATCAAAAATTTGTATGGGACATAATTTAATCAAAAATTAATTTAAAAGTAGCTGCCATCGAAAAAACTCTTTGCACAGTGGCGCCACCTACATCTTGTATTATTTAAAAACATTTTTCACACAGTTGTGAAGCCAATCATAGAGGCTAAAAACTGGCGTTTACAGAATTTAAATGTGACTTTTAGTTTTCGAAATAATTGGCCTGGGAGTTTTTATTGAAACACCCTGTATAATAGTCATTTTTAACATTTCCGATAAGTACATTTAATTTATTCCTATATTGAGTGTATTCCTGTTTTAGTTCTATAGAGAAGTTTTTTAGTAGCTTTTTTTTTAGTTTATCTCTGTTATTAATTGCATTTACAAGGGCATCTGTTATCCAGGGTTTGATTTTCTTATATTTTTTCCTATTCTGAACTTTAACTATTTTTGTAGAATTTCGTATATAATTTTTCAATTTAGTTATAAAAATGTCATAAGCATTTTGCGTTTTATTAGAGCAGATGACGTCATTCCAGTTTTCTTTTGAGAGTTTATTGTTTAGCTTTTGATAATTTATAGTTTTTATTTCGAAAATAGCACTTTTTTCTATATTTTTACAAAGAAAGTTTTTAATGCTAAAAAATATCATATAATGATCCGTGAGACAAGTTTCTATTACAGCAGAACTGAACTTTTGTTGTGTTTTTGTTTTTAAGAAAATATGGTCTATTATACTTTTAGTATTGTCAGTTATTCTAGTAAAATTATTAATATAGGAAACAAAACCATATTCATATAGTAGACTTAAATAGTTTGTAACATTAATATCTGTTTTATTATTAAGGTTAATATTAATATCACCTAGAAAAATTTCAATTGATTTAAATTCTATAGCATTTAAATAAGTGTTTAAATCGTTTAAATAACTTAACACATTTATTGCAGGTGATCGATAGGATGCATTTATACCTATGTCAGTGTTTTTATAATTTATATTTGCGCGTAAAATTTTTGTTTGAGTAAAATTTATAATTGACACATGCGCATTTAAATTTTCTTTAATATAAAGAATAAGTCCATCGTTTTGATTAAAATTTGAGTTACTTTAAAATGTATTATAGTTTTTGATAGAAAAATCACCTCCTGTTCTATTTTCCAAGTTTCTGATAGTACTATAATGTCAAAGCTTATTGTTGATGATTGTAAATAAATTAGAAATTGTTCAAAATTTTTTCGAATACTTCTTATATTGCAAGGAATAATATTTAAGCCTTGTTTATGCAAAACATCCAACTCGCTAATTTGTCTATAGACGCTACACCTGATTTCATCCTGCTCCTCTAACACACCAAAAAACTCGTTCATTCAATTTAACTAGTTTAATCAATACAAGAAATATGCAAATATAACAATTTTACCTAACTAAACAAGTATTCAAGTTCATCCCCCTGAATTGTAAAACTTAAACCTTAAAGAATAATAAGAAGAAAGAAAATACAAATATTAAATTGTGAGAAAAATAATACATAAATAAAGTGAAAAACATATATATCCTAGACTTTATTTAACTAATTCATTTAATTCATTTAAAGACTTAATACATTTTACGTTATCATTTATTTTTACATAAACTTTACCCCATTCAGTCCAATAAAATTTTAATTTATTGATAATGGAGGTTGCCAACCTCCAAAACTTTTTTCAATTTCTTCTGCTATTGCCAAAGATAATCTATCACAATTTGGTGCTGTGGCAACCTAAAACAGAAATTGATTAGGTATAAGTACCTACTGCTTTACTAATTTAACATAAAGTGTGGAACTCATGAGGGCACTTATGGAATAAAATTCGTTATTCGTTGAGAAAAGATTTTTATGAAAAACGCTCGGACACGTAAACTTTAGTTTTTTATTCCAAATCTTATAATGATAATTTTAAATTTTATGCCCCCCACCATTTCCCCCCCCCGCACATTAGGCACCCTTATCTTAAATAACAACCCCACTTTTTTTCATCGAAAATTGATAGTGCACATTTTTTTGAGTATGACGATACCATATAAGTAGGGTTTAGTAAACAGTTTTTAATACAGGGTGGAAATATATTGACAAATTAAAAAACTAAACTTTTTATTTTAAAATTAATTATTAATTCAAAAATAAACTGTTTTTCAATCTTATAAATGTTTAAAATGTCCCCCTTTCACTTCCTGACACTTTAGTAGTCTACTGTGAAATTGTTCCCGCACTCTGTTTAAAACCTCCGGTGTTATGTTCCTAATTTCTCCAGTAATTCTGTTTCTTAATTCATCTAAATTAGCAGGTTGTGTTTTAAACACCCTCTTTTTTAGATATCCCCATAGAAAAAAGTCTAGAGGTGTTAGATCCGGTGATCCTTTCATTGGGAAGATTAGGTTCCAATGGATTTGGAAACAACTCTGATAAAGTTGGGACAACTTGTTCTCTTAGCATATCCAGATACCTTGCCCCGTTAAGATTTTCAATGAAAATAGGTCCCACCACATGATCACCAACAATACCAGCCCAAACGTTGATTTTCTGAGGACATTGGGTATGACTTTGTCGCATCCAGTGGGGATTTTCTTCTGCCCAGTACCTGCAATTTTGTCTATTTACCTCGCCATTTAATAGAAATGTTGATTCATCAGAAAAAAGAATATCTGCAAAAGAAATAATATTCCTGTTTCCGCCTTTTCACGTGCAACCTGACGCGTAGAAGTTGTTGGATCTTCTTGAAAAGCTAATAAAATATTAACTTTCACATTTTCATCAATAAAATGAGGCGTCCTGCGTAATGGTTTAACGGGTCCATATTCATGAAATTGTGCATGTATTTTAGACACAGTTGTCTGAGAAAGTTGTGGTAAATCTGGGTATTTTCCATTAAAAAGGTTTGCAACTTGCTGTTAACAGTATCAGTTAATATTTTAGTTAAAAAATGCGACACTTGACAGAAACTCTGCGAATAGAAATATTAATAATGATTGGTTACGGTGATATGTGCAGATCACAATTGTGACAATGATCTAAATAGCGAAAGCCACAACACACGAAACTAAATCATAGAATAACAATAAAAAATTGTAATTTTTAAATATTCACCCTATATTGAAAATTATGGTTACTAAACGTCGTACTCAAAAAAATGTGCACTATCAATTTTCGATGAAAAAAATTAGGGTTGTTATTTAAGATAAGCGTGCCTAATGTGCGGGGGGGGAAATGGTGGGGGCAGAAAATTTAAAATTATCATTATAAGATTTGGAATAAAAAACTAAAGTTTACTTGTCCCAGCGTTTTTCATAAAAATCTTTTCTCAACGAATAACGAATTTTATTCCATAAGTGAGTTCCACACTGTATATTATTTGTTTACCTGCAGGCCTACCGGCATTCCTTTATCAGTCCTTATTATGGGACAATTCGTAACTGGCATTCCCAAAGCATTAAATATCGAACAATAAACTGGATTAAATAATTTTCTGTATATATCACCATGATAATGTGCTTCATGAGGAAACGTCGGACAGATTAATACTCCATCATATTTTAATAAATCTAAGATTTCTTCTTTCAAATCTTCTATAGACATTTCTATAACGTGTTTTTGGCTTGAAAGATCAAAATATTTACGAAAAAGTCCATAACAAATGGATGTTAATTGAAACTTTGATCTGAATGATAGAAATCGAAATAATTCTTTAACAGAGCCTTCCCCTTTTCCTTCAAATAAATTATCAATGTCGTTTATGTTTAATAGTTTTAAATATGAAAGTTCTCCCCCATAGTTTATCATATCAATATTAATCTAAAATAAAATTATATGACAAATTTCTATTATGTAAAAAACTTTATATTACTTTTGTGCAACTACTTTTGCATATATTATTAAAATGACTAATAACTCTATTTATAGCTGTTTTTACATTATTATTTGGTTTATCCACAATGGGACTATTAATTTGTTCTAAATAATAAATCCTGACGTTTGATATATCAACCTATAAAATAGTAATAAAAAAAATATTAAATAGATTTACTTTTAACATACTGGTTTGTTTAAATCCAATTTTTTTTTTACAGTTGGTTTAACAATAATCTGCAGTAACATCCTTAAATCAGTAGCGTATCTAGAGATTGGCCCTAAAGTAAATACTTCAGCCCATGCAGACTCATCTTTGCAGCTGGGGTAATGACCTTTAAACGATACTGTCTCGGGAGTCGGTTTGTGGCCCCACGTACCACAAAAATGGGAAGGCAATCTTAATGATCCAGCAATATCAGACCCGATTCCAATTAGTGAAGCTCCAGCTCCAATTAAACTGCACTGTAAATTTGTTTAATTTAAAACTTTTGCTTTATAGTTAAATTTATAATACAATTTACAGTAAAATATTAAGTGTATTCACTAATTTATAACAATCTTATATTTAACTTCATCTGTTAGTATGTTTGGGTCTTATTTAAGATTACAATTATTACAATATTTACCTAAAAATGATTCTTTTTTTACATTTTCGAAACCTGAGAAAATGAGTGATATTATTTATGAATATCTAAACTTACTGTAAGTTATATAAATTTGAAATTTTGGTCAGGGGCGTCACAAACAGGTTGGGAAAATTTACCCCAACTTTTTTGTGTATTGACTTTTTACCATTTTTATCCTACATTATTGCATAATAAAGTTTGTTATGTAAAAAAATTGTCTTAAGCCGTGTTAGTTAGAGTTTTTAATTTTAAACACCATATATCCTCAAGTTTATATAAACTTATTTTCTTAAAATCATCCAAGGATTTAGCCCATTCAGTATCAGCCATCAACTAAGAAACATCCTGCATTGCATGAACGGCCTTTACAGGGGCTCTTGCTTAACTTAAGAGTGATTTCTCGCACTATTTATATAATATTTTTTAAATACTTTAAGAAGTCCTAAAACCTCCTCAAATATTTACCATTCTCAACAAGTTTGGGTAAGGAATTCTCTAGAAATAACCGATTAAAAAACACATTTTTAAATATATCGGCAAATGTTTTGGGGGGTGTGATAATTAAAAGTGCAAACATTTTCCAGGTCAATTTCCAGATTGATTAGACTAATAGTTCTAATTACAATAAGATTACATAAGATGGCAGATTAGCGTTCTCTTCACAATGATCTTAATGTTTTTTGTCTGTGTTGTTTATGTGTGCTGATTTATGAGTTCGTTGGCTTGCTTGCGATTACGAAGTTTGCGTTTGGATTTAGAATTTAGAGTTTAAAATTTGAATTTAGGTATTCCAATATTAGGTCATGCAATTAGATATTTTACTTATCCAGAATAATCAGATTTTAAGTTCGGTTGCTTTGTCTTTATCGGGCGGTTCCTTGACCTCGGCCGCCTCCTATTTGCACGCGATGATTGTGTTGGTAATCCAGGGAAGATTATTGTTGTATCCTATCACCCTAGTCGCACCCTTTTACACCGGTAGAGCACCGGGGGCCACACGCACTTACACCCTTATTTTTTTTTACTTGTATCTTGTAGATTTAATCTACTTGTAGACACGATAAGCGTTGACACGACCTCTTACCTCGAGGTGAAGAGCGAGACTGCAGTCGTTGTTTAGTGAGCTTATTGAGATTTTTGCACTTAACACAAACAAATTAAAAAACATCGTTTATCCAAACTAAAGTCTGCAATTAGGCCAATGCCACATGGTCCAGACGTGTCAATACCTAAGAAACCCACAATCTTAAAAAAATTACAAGGACTTCTGAAGTTGATGAAGACAACTTTAGCGATGCCAGCGAATTATTAAGCGTTTCTAAGCAGTTATTTTCTCAGATCAAAGGTAATGACTTGGTTAGAGAGTTAGGTCTTTCTAAGAATCTTACAGAAATTTACTGACAGAAGACGTTCAAATCTTCTATTTTAGGAAGCGTGATGTATACAATTAAAATAAACAACTTTTAAATATAAACTGAAAAGTAAAAAAAGTAAAACTACAGTACATATTACTTGAGAATAAAAACAGGTTTTAGGGCTTTTCGTTTATTAATATGGTCTTTGAATAAATTAAAAATATTTATTTGAAAAAATTGTTAGTCCCGATGAGATCTCTATTAGGTAGCCTAATTTAGGTTTTAAATTATTAGTAGAAACACTCTGTATTTATAACGTAGATGTTTTCGTTTTTTTTAATATCTTTTGAATTACCTGGTAATAACATAAAATACATTTTACACCTATTTATAACATTGATATTATATTGATATTATCCTTTTTTTAAATATCTAAAAAACTTGAAAAACTTGTATTATTTTAAAAAAAGTAAAATTAACAGAAAAACTATATAAACGGCATATGTAGGCTATTTTGAAAAAAGTGGACTAGTTTATAGTACCAACATTTCCAGTATGATAAACAAACTTGGAGACACAGACTAGAATTTCGAGGACTGGACTGGAGGCTTTTTATTTATTCTCCAAAAGAAGCCTTAAAGGTATTTTTGTCACAATAGACATGTGTTTTCATTGGTAACTGTTGCCCATTCTGTGCAAATGACAATACAATTCATTAATATTAGAACCAATAAAATGTCAGTATTCCATAGTGACGTATTTTATCACAGCGGCAATAATTTTTATCATCTTGTTTACACGTTACTAAGAATTTTGACACTTTTCTTGATTTAACATCTGTTGTCATTTAAATTCTGTGTTTGATATATATCAATAAAATAATGAATTATAAACTCTAAAAGATCGATGGGTTGGTGTAAACGATAATGAAATTAAGGTAAGTTTGAATAAATAAGGTTTATTAAAGTCTTTTTATATTTTAAAGCACATTTTAATTTTAAATGTCAATCTGACAAATTTTTTAATTCCTAAAATTCATTGTATTTTCTCACTAAATATAACTCGTGGTATGATTAATAATCGAAGATATTTACTCATTGAAACCGAAGCAGAACATTTCACTCGTCCTGCGGACTCGTGAAATCTGCAGCTCGGTTTCAATTCGAAAATATCATCGATGATAATCATACCACTTGTTATATTATGGGTGACAATAAGCTATGAAAATCTTAAATTATTGCTTGAAAAAATTAAATACAAGGATCATTTGTGGAGATTTTAAAATTGTAGGACTTGTACTAGGTTAGCAGTCAGAGTATACGAAGTACCCATGTTTTTTGTGTGAGTGGAAAAAAGGAAAAAAGACTGGCCAAGAAGAGTTAATTTAACTAGCGGATCAAAAAATGTTCCGCCCGAAAGTTTTGTTGATCCACGAAAAATCTTTTACCTCCGCTGCATATTAAACTGGGTTTAATAAAACAATACGTTTAATCTTTAAATAAACATGAAACATGTTTTAAATACCTTTTTGCATGGATTTTATTTGCCAAGGATCCTTAAAAACATGCTACATAAATTTAATAAATTGGGACGTAACATGAGCATAAAAGTTTACTTTTTAAACTCGCATTTTGATTACTTTCCTAAAAATCTCAGCGATGTAAGTGAGGAACAATCTTTAACGCTTTGTTGTGCAATCAACTTGAAGTTTAACTTGATTTGCAAATGATCTTTTGAAGGTTTCCAATGTATTCACAAAACACGAAGATTACTATCAATAACTAACTTTATCTCTTAATTTACGAGTTTCCGATATATTTTACCCCTTCAAAGAAAGCGTCCTCAACATAAACGTTATCTTCCAAATATTCAGCAATTAGCTTAAAAAGGAGAAGGGCGAAGTCCATAAGTAATAGTTTTAAGTTCATAGATCTAAAGAGGTTCAAATTGAGAAAAACAAAAAACTCGTCGTTTTAGCGGAGCCATTAAATACCACTCCTAATTTGGTAGAAAGACTATCCTGACGAATAACTGCGGAATGAGGACGAAAGTTTTGGGCATTAAAGTGATATTTAAAAGAAACAGCAAGACTCACATGAGAAAGTAGAAGATAGTATTTCATAAATGCAGAATATTGATAAAATAAAGTAGGATTTTGATTTCTTTTTTATAGAAGAAAAAAGTTGAAAAGCTGCTTCATTAGTCAACTAGAATTGGTATATCAGAAAAGAAAGAGTACGTTCAAAATGCTCTTTACATTCACGCTAAGATTTGGAAAGAATTAAAAAAGACGAAACTTGAATTTCCCAAAATATTCTTAAAGTTAAGCAACCAAAGCATGATGAACAAGAATATAATTTGATGAAGAATTACTTGCAGTTAAAGGTCCTGCTAAAATCCACCCAAAAATAATACCTACTTGTGCATGTAAAGCACAGGAATGGGATCGTAACAACCCATCACGTAAAAGAATCCCATAAACCCATAAACATTCTTTTCAAAATGCGGGTCAGCAAATTCAAGTTTTTGCCAATCAACTGAAAGATCTGTCAGAAGAATCTCAGGTGTTTGATAAGTACATACGCGGTAGTATATACGCACAAACATTAATTTATTCGTAACTAGAATCAACAGACTGATAAAATAAACAAAAGATAATGCATTTACCATTTACTCCGGTGTAGCTGAGGTTAGTTTATTCGCCAATATTGACATTTGTGTGAGATGTTCCGAAATAATGCTACATTCAGAGCACTGATCAAGAATTGCCTTGGCCAAAGGTTTCTGACCTCAAGAACAGAGAGTTCTTTTAAACTTTTAAAAATATGAGTAATTTTACTTTTACTGTAATAATTTGTAATAACTTTGGAAGGTCTTAAATTCTGATGAACATGCGAGTTGGGCAGTGAGTCAATGATTTAATAGTTATTTGTTGTAGTGTTGAAAAGCGACTTTTTCATGCGAGTGTTAAAGTTGCTTACGAGGCCATCAGACCGAGTGTGCATTAACACGAGCTTGAAGAAAGCTTTTCTCACAACTGAAACATAATGTTTTTTCTCCGACCCTTTTATTTTTTATTATATTTAAATACAAAACAAAATAACCTAAAAACGTGTTTGACAGCTGTTAAAATTACTATCATCTTATTATTTTGATTTTTAAGGTATAAGTCAAATCATCAAACGATGCTGTCAATTTCTTTTCACACAGACCTGTCACTTTTCAAACAAATGTCACTTTACATTCGTGTTTTGCCTTGCCAATGAAAAGATTCATTTTCTAAGCAACAATGCCATTACGAAATGTGACTTTTACATAGTGGTCGTAGAAAAATTATGTTTTTTATACATTCTGAAGAAGCTACACTTTATCGAAACACTTAACAAAATTTTAAATAAATCACGTGAAACTTTTAAATAGTGTCATTTTTATTATATTTATATATATGTCAGAGATTAACGAGGGCGACTGAGGGTTAGGC